TTTCTTTTTGCTTATGTGGTGCTGAGGAATGGAACCCAGGGCCTCATGCATGCAAGGCAAGCGCTCTACCACTGAGCCACCTTCTCAGCCCTTCCTAAAGTATTTCTAAAATATTAGCTATGCTGTCGTCAACTAATGAAATGATTCTTGATTTTAGATTCTTTATTGCTAAGGAGCTCCATCATTACTCAGTGCAACAACATTTTTGTTCCATTCAACTATGTGGTGTTTTTGCTTGTTTTGATTTCATTTTCTCTGTGATAGGGATCAAATCCGGGGTCTTCACATGCTGGACAAGAGCTCTACCACTAAGCCATAGCTCCAGCTTTCTTTTTTTTCTTCTAATTCTTTGTTTCTTTCTCTGTCTTTGTCTCTGTCTCTGTCTCTCTGTCTCTCTCTGTTCTTTGAGACAGAGTCTCCATGTAGCTCATGCTGACCTCATGATCCTTCTTTCTGCCTCAGCCTACCAGTGCTGAGGTTACGGTGAATGACAATGAACAGAAGTACTTTATAAACATGTATAATAAGAGAATAATGAAACCTGCTGAAATTGTTTCATGAAACACCTGGGGAGAGTCAGAAGGACCTATGGAGTGAGTTTGACTGGTGAGTTTGTATGTATATATGTAAATGTCACAGTGAAACACCCTTATATACAAACATATGCTAATGAAAATGTCAATTAAAAAAAGCCAACCTGTCCTTATCTGCTTATGAACAGTAAAATCTTATTATAATGTCATCTCTTTGACTTGATTTAAAGAAAAATAGATGAATTTATATCTATACTTTTCAAACTGTTCTGAGAATAGCTTAAGGCATAGAAGTAGTTTTCAAAAAAAAAACCCACAAAATTACTTTGTAGTGTTATGACTTCCTTTTCACTGGCTATATTAAAATTTCTAATGACATGTCAGTATTAAATAACATTCTCTCTTCAAAAAAATGCACTAGTTAATAATATGCCTTTTTGAAAATACGAGCACTGGCTTTATCATATATTCATCACCTAGACAGTTACCCATTCCTGCTATCATTTCTTTGTCCTCAGATGTCGTTGTTCCCCTTTCTCCTCTTCTTCCTCCATTTTTCTCTCCCCTTCCTCCGCCTCCCTTCCCCCATCATCATTGTTCCTTTTGTATCTAAGCCAGGCTGGAATTTGAACCCAGAGCCTAGCAAGTACTCCACAACTTGAGCCAAGTCTCCAGCCCTTTTTGCCTTAGCTATTTTTCAGATAGGGTCTTGTGCTTTTGCACCAAATTAGTCTCAGACCCACCACCTTCCTATCTCTACCTCCCAAGTAGACAGGATTATAAGTATGAGTCATTGTCTCTGGCCCAGGAGTTTTACTTTGTGTCTCTTTGGGCCAGTTCTCTGATATTCACCATCTGTTTTTCATCACTGCTAAATGTCAACAGTTCTCCCTTCTCTGTATTCATTTTCTTTTTATAAGAGTTTATACTTGCACTGTTCAATATAGTTGCTACTAATCACAAGTGAGCACTTGAAACATTGCCAGTCATAAAATGTGGCATCTCCTATACTTCCATCAGAAAGAATGACACTGCCCCATTTGTAAGGAAATGAGAGGACCTGGAAAAAGTCATATTAAGTGAAGTAAGTCAGAACAAAAGAAACAGGTCTCATGGTTTCCCTTATTTGTAATAGCAGAATAGCTCAATAGCTATGTACATATGACCATACAGGATGAACTCCAACACATGAACACTAGAGGATTTTCTTTGTTGTTGTTTCTTTGTTGTTGTTTTAATATATATTTTTATTGTAAAGATACTGCACAGAAGGGTTACAGTTACATGAGTAAGGTAATGAGTACATTTCCTATTGAGCATTATTACCTCCTGATTTCTTTTTTTCTTTTGTGTTTCCCTCACTATGGTTTATCCCATTGTCAGTGTATTTGATTTTGGTACTCTGGGTATTATATATGTGCATGTGAATTAGGGAAGGGAAAGGAAACAAAAAAATGGTGAGACAAAGGACAAAGGGGAAACCAATGTAACAGCGATACTCACAAGACACTATGTTGGAAATGATCTGTACAACTTGGTGGAAGTATAGGGGGAAGTGAAAAAGGGAGAAAAATGAGGGAGGGGATAACAAGTTTGATAAGAAAAGTACTCAATATCTTATGTAACTGTAACCCCTCTCTACTTATCTCTGTAAATCTGTATCTCTGTAAAATACACACTGGATTTTGAAGACTTAAGAAGACAAAAAAAAGTAGAAAAGTTTTCCATATTTTTATGTTGGTGACACTGAAGTGATACTATTTGGAATATTCTGGAAATACAGTATATTATGAAATATTTTTTAATACAGCTTCTATAAAAATTTGAACTATGTATGTGCCTTGGATTGTATTTCAACTGTTAGATAGTCCAGACGAGGCCGTCAGTGACCAACAAATTTTCATTGACTCAACAAATTATCAAATTATTTTCTAAATATCAAATGAATGTCAGACAGTTCAAGACAACAGAAGTACCATAGTAAGTAAAATATTTTTTCTAATCCCCACCTGTAGAATTCATCCTCTGGTATCTTTTACAACATTTCTAGTGCCTAGCAAGTTGTAGAAATAGTCAATGATTAAATGACGAACAAATTGGTCTTTGCCTGTCATATAAAATGTTTGATATCTTAAAAATGAGTCATCAAAGTGCTCTTCCTTTGACAATTGAGAGCTGGTTATAGTTTTATGGAATATAATTTATAAGTCTTTTGTTATCTCATTACCCATCATAATTTCTTCTTTCCCAGAAGCTACTTCTACACAGTCCATTGTTTTTCCTCAGCTTCTGATATAAGACTTATTAGGACCGAGTGCTGGTGGCTCATGCGTGTAATCCTAGCTACTTGAGGATCTGAGTTCAAAGCCAGCCCAGGGAGGAAAGTCTGTGAGACTCTTATCTCCAATGAACCAGCAGAAAACCAGAAGTGGCACGGTGGCTCAAGTGTCAGAGTGCTAGCTTTGAGCTAAAGAGCTGAGGGACAGCGCCTAGGCCCAGAGTTCAAACCCCATGACTGACAAAAAAAAAAAAAAAAAAAAAAGACTTATTAGTTTTAGAAGCCTAGTCCTTTTTGTTTTTTTTTAAATTTAATTTTATTTTATTTGTGAATGCCTAGTCCTTTGTGATAATGGATTCTTTTTATTTTAGCTATAATTTCTGTGTGTGCGTGCGTGCGTGCGTGTCCTGGTTACTGTCCCTGAGCTTTTTTGTTTAGGCACTAGCTCTAAGCAAAAAGCCAGAAACTTCATTTGTGTTTGGTGAAAAATTGGAGATGAGTCTCAAGGACTTTCCTTCCTGGGCTAACTTTGAACAATGATCCTCAGATCACAGCTTCCTCAGTAGCTAAGATTACAGTCATGAGACACTGGCACTCAGCTTCTGCTTTCTATTTTTATTGCATGTTATTAGTAACTATAAGTCACATAGAATGATGTCTACAAATGAATTGCTAGGATCACCAAAGTTTCATCTGGGTAACAAGATTGATAGCACATGGTTATCAGTCAGAGATAGGATTTTACTTCCTAAAAAGGATCCTAGAACCAAAGTTGAGCTAATTTATCTTTGTCTTCCCTCCACCCCATGTATATAGCATGCTTTCCTCTAGGTAGAAAGCATATAACAATTCTTAGTCTACAGAAAATGATTCCAACATAGTCTTGCTAAACAGACCCAAGATATGAAACATAAAACCATATGTAGCATCAGACTATGACTTAGTCACCATCATTTCTGTTACTGATTCTCTCAAATCTCCATTTCCAACAAATATTCACGATATGAACCACATGTAGCTCACTACCCAGAGTAACAGCTCTGAACAGTATGAATTTAACGTTTTTTTTTTCTATGTAGGGACAGAATGGTAGCAGTAAGCTACGATTTAAATTTTAAATGCTAAAAAGTTAAAATTCTAAATAAAAACGTTCTGAAATGTATGTAATTCTACTTACCATTGGCTTTGGTAGTGAAAGGTAGCCATACTTCTCTCCTACAAATAACATATATAACAACACTTTTTATTAATGTATTTCTATTATTCACATTTGCCTGTTAAAATATTATTAAACAGGAATGTTAATGCCTTAGTTCTAATAATTTAGTCTCTTAAATACATGTGATTCAAAAATAAAATCCTATCTTCCTTGGCAAACATGAAGACTGTAAATACCTGCATTTCCAGTACACCTGTGGTGGCAGTCTCTGCCAGTCTAATGGTAGAAAATCAAAATGTCTTCAAAATTAACTTCATTTAATGTTCTTTATGTTCCTATTGAAACTAGATTCCTCTTTTATCAGTACCAATGTTGGAGCTTCTTTTCTCCAAGTACCAAATCATTTACAACTAACCTCATAAGTATTCTCATTAGGGAAGAGGACAGCCCCCAAGAATAGTAAGATGAAACAAAACAATTAACAGGGATTAAATAAAAACATTATTAAAACAAGTATCACTATTAATTTTTGATTTTTCTTATTTCTACTAGAAAATTTTACATCATATATTGACTCTGTAATCTACTTCTGTTGGACATTACTAATCTATAAGATGAATTATTGCTAAGTATCAACCTTTAGAAGTAGTTAATGATTAAAATCATTTCTTTGTCATATCAGAAGTGGTAGGGGATTTAATTGTGATAACAAAATTGTAAGATTTTGAAAAACGAGTTTAAAGGTATTTTCATTCCCCATCTCCAGTCTTCTCACACAAAAAGAGCCTGACTTACTTGGGTTACTTCAATGTCAAAATTTACCAATGGTCTAATTCCGAGTCTGAATCCTGTCCATAATATCTGTAAAAAGTTGTCTTCATATGCTCTTTAGAGAGGCACTCTACTTAAATACCAGCAAGTAACCTTGCATTATCTAACCTAGGGATCCTACATAGAGCCAGTGACCCTGAAATGCTCACATTTACTCTCCAAGAAGGGTGACAGGAACACATTTCTAAGATACAGCGAAGCTGAAGCAACTAGAGAGAAATAAAGAGCTTTTATATAATCTAGTTTGCCACCATTACTATCCACCTAGCATTATTTGTCACTGGTAGTTCCATTTCCTGTAGTCCTCTTTTAAGAATTTGCTTGTTTTGCTGTCTATTCCCATCCAACTTAAAAGTAACAAGATGGGCACTGGGGGCTCATGCCTGTAACCCTTACTACTCAGGAGCCTGAGATCTGAGGATGGGGATTCAAAACCAGCCTGGGCAGGAAAAAGTCCAGGAGACTCTTTATTTCCAATTAACCAACCAGATACCAGGAAGTAGAGCTATGGCTCAAAGTGGTAGAATGCTAGCCTTGCAAAAAGAATTCAGGGACAGCACCAAGGTCCTGAGTTCAAGCCCCACAACTAACGAAACAAAACAACAACAACAACAAAAGGGAACAAACCAAAGAGCTGTGTAAATGAAAGCAAGTACAGGATTTTCCTGTTTCAATTTTGGCCTGTCCGCTGTGGGTGGCAGAATATTCTGCTGAGGGCTGGAAGGCCATTTGTGAGCTCAGTGTGTGAAAAATATTAGGATCAATCATCAACTTCTGTCTTGGAGCCAGGATGAGGAATGTTATCACTCAATTCTCTTGCTTTAAATACGGAAACCCAAAGTATAGATGGTCCAGGATTTTCAAGGTCACACAATGATAAAAATACAAAGTAATAAAAATAAATGATACCATTTTACTACATTGTAAGCATTATGACAAATTATCTTGTGTACACAAAGAAACTACTCAAAGCCCAGGTAATATGCATAGGCCCCCCATTATTAATAGACTTTTACACCCAATTATCTCTTCTATAATTTAGCCAGCCCCATCCTCAGCTAATGAGCCAAAAAGAGGACAGTTTCTTGGCCCTCAATCACTTGTTCTTGCTCCATACTTCCTGAACTTCCTAGATTAGGATCTCCTTGTCATTTCTAGAATGGAGTGGGAGGCGGGCAAGACTCAGAGCTGTAGTGGTAAGCATTTTTCATGGAATTAGTTCATTCTCCTTAGACTGCTTTAGGGATGGACTGGAGTTTAACTGCTTGAGTATGTTTCAGTGGTTGATAAAAATTTCATCTTTGGCATCACTCAGATTCAATAAGACCCCAGTTCTGTTACTCACTCACTGTGGGACCCTGACATATTAAGTTCTTTAAACATCAGTTTAGTTATAAATAAAATATGGAAATATTACCTGTCTGGCAGGGTTACTAAGAGGCTTAAATGTAATAAAATGCACAGCTAGTACTTATCAAAGTAAACACAGTAAACTCCCAATAGATGGCAGCCACTGTTATTTTATTGGCTGTATACTTTTCTGACTGATCACACTGATAATTTTAACCATAAAGATACTAGTAGTCTGAGGTTTTTATTTGTCACTGAATCTCCCTTGTTGATTTTGTAAAAAGGTTAACTGTGGTAGGAAAAAAGATGAATCCAAGAAAAAGAAGAAAAAAAAGGAACAAATGTTGTAGTAGATGTGAACTGAGAGAGACTTTTAGAGAAGGGCAAAGCTTTGTGTGCACAGAAAGCGAATGTAGACTCTCTTCCACAGGGCACAGGGCGAGAGACCAACAGTGGGGTCAGACAGGCTACTCCCAAAGCCTCAACAAAGGGAAAGGACACAGAGAGAGCTGGGTGTCAGAAAATGAGAGAGATTGGGAGTAAGGGGGAAAGCTGGACAGACTGCTTTTCATAAATTGTCTATACTGCAATGTACTGGCAGTCAGAATAAGAAAAGAAGTAGCATGTGTTGAGAACATGCTACAAATGCACTTCTTAATCTTTAACCTACTGCATGAGGTATTTATGTCCCAATTATCCCATTTTCCATATGCAAAAAATTGAAGCAAAGTGATTAAGTTAATGAGTAGCACAGGCAGTGTGGGAACCCAGGCAGTTCAGAAGCTGGTTTTCAACTTCTATCTAGTTCTGTCCTCCAGAGTGAGATTATCACTCAGATCCCAAAAAAAAGGAAGCAATCCCTCAAGGAGAAATACAACTTGAGTTTATTTGATTTTTGGCAGAAAGAAATTAATACTTATAAGAAGACAATCCCTCAAGTTATCAGTTTCTATTTACTATTCTAATTGCTACTCAGAACTTGACTCAGGATTAACAAACTGGGAGGGAGGGGGAGGAACCTATTATAAATCTTTTGTTCTTAGGAATCAAAAGACTAAAATGGTAGTCGAATGACCTGGCTTAGAAACAGTGAGGATCTCAGACACAAAGAGAAAGGCGCCTTAAGCATTTGGTCAAGGGACTAGAACAGAGGAATTCAGATCTAGCTGGCCCAGGGACACAAAAAGAGTGCAAGTGATCGGAATTCAACCACGTCCCATTTTTAATGAGCAAAAGCAAAAACTTACCCAGTATTGGAAGTGATATGACAAAAGTTTCAGAAGAAAATTTCCTCTGACTTTTACAGAGAGGCTTGGGGGATAGATGCAAAGATGTACCTTCATGCTCAGTGCTCCAAAATAGCCCAACTTCAGGTAGTGCTCACAAAGGACTAAGCACAGCCTTGGAGAGCACCCAGCCTGAGGCCTTCATGACTGGAGCCATAGACACTGAGGCCTAGGGCAAGGAGGGCTGGCCCAACATGAATAAGAGAACAGCTGGACCTGGCAGGTGCTCTGGCTTCTCAAGTCACTTCTCTTCCTTTCTTAATGAAGAGATTGCTTCAGCAAAGTGACCGTTCCTCCTTAAATGTGGATCAACTATACCTCACCGTAGCTTTTAATATATGAAACCTGCCTCATACCAAAATCCATGTCACTGTAAATACCCCATGAAAGTATTAAAATGACATACTGCCATTTAGAGTAGCTGCTACATAATTGTTGTTGTTGTTTGTTTTTTCACTGGTCCTGGGGTGAGAACTCAGGGCCTGAGCACTATCCAAGGCTATGCTGGGCACTATTAGCTCAAGGCTAATGCTCTACTACTTGAGCCACAGAGCCACCTCGGCATATTCTGAGTAGTTTATTGAAGATAACAGTTTTACAGACTTTTCTGCCCAGATTGGCTTCAAACCACAATTGTCAGATCTCAGCCTCCTGAGTAGCCATGATTACAGGCATGAGCCACAAGTGTGTGGCTCACAGTTTTTAAGTGTAAAGATTTTGCATAGTAAACATTTATTATACTTTACAGATTATGTTAGAGCTACAAAGTCTCATACTCCCTAAGTTTTCAGCAAATCAACATGTATCTTATGAAGGTATTATAAAAATATGAAGTATTTAAATATATTCAATAAAATAACAAATACATGTCTTGGTGGTATGATTTTAAATGGCAATTTATTTTTTAATCATATTTTGATATAAACATATAAAATTATATAAACATAAATAACAGGACACATGGAAATAAACAAAACTCCTTCATATTAAAATAAAAAGTAGGGGCTAGGAAGGTGGCTCAGTGGTAGAGTGCTTGCCTTGTATGTATGAGGCCCTGGGTTCGATTCCTCAGCACCTCATAAACAGAAAAAGCCAGAAGTGGCCCTGTGGCTCAAGTAGTAGAGTTGCTGCCTTGAGCTGAAGAGCTGAGGGACAGCGTCCAGGCCCAGAGTTCAAGCTCCACAATGGATAAATAAATAAAAAGTAAAAATGAGGCATTTGTATCCATTGTATGGTGCTACATGTTGTAGAAATGCCAATGGACTTACCCACCACAGGTAATAGTCTAAGTTTATGTAGTCATCAAGGAAAGAGATTCCATCCAAGTGGAAGGAAAGCAATTCAGAAATCAAATAACTACATTCATTTCAGAATAAATTTAGGACAATTAAATCAGAGAATTTCTGTATTATAGAAATGTTATGTAATAACATTTTTCTTAAAGTATAGGAGAAATGAAATGGTTTAATTTCAACCTAAAAACTAAAATGTAAATTTAGAGATATCATATAACAAATCTTATATAAATGCTAAAATACCATTTTTTCTCATTTTTCTGTAGCAGCTACTTTAGTCTAAACACAACTCAGTAGGTTATATTAACAAGCTAATTCATTATATATACCTAAGGCTTAACATTACAATCTTCATAGTTACATTAAAATAATACTAATATATAAATATGGGTAGACAGTTTCTCACCTCGTCTTCCTTCAAACACATCATTGATTTCTCTCAGCAGTGTTGACATGTCACTAATTTGAGATTCCCAAGCTTCACAAAATACATCTAGGTTCTCCTTAGCAATTTTGCTAGATGGATGCAATGTCAATGTCTCAGCAGCAGAAATTATCTAAAATACACATAGAAACATAAAACACACAGCCCTCAGAATCACAGCAGAGACAACACTTAAGTCTGCAGTGTTGCATTCAATTAAAAAAATAACAATCAAGAAGTGATTTCCACACTGAAGTCCCATGTTGGGTAACAGAACAAAATCTATATTCATTATAATCTGACCTATAAGAGGTGTGTGTTATATAAATTTTCATTCAAGCACTTTATTCAAGGAAAACACAGTTTCACTAGTTATTTCCACAGCATAATTCATCCTCAGCCTATAAATAATGTATTGTACATAGCAGTAGAAGAGGTTGTAGTAAGGGTAGTAGTGGAAGTAGTAATGAATGGCAGATAGCAGTAGAAATAGTAATAATGTTTCATAACTATAAGAACATGGTAGATACATGCTTGAGATACCATGTCAAATGCTTGATAGAAAATAATTCTCAAAAACAGCAATAAAGCTGGGTGCCAGTGGCTCATGCCTATAAGCTTAGCTACTCAGGAGGCTAAGAAATGAAGATCATGGTTCAAAGCCAGCCTGGGCAGGAAAGTTCATGAGACTCTATCTCTAATTAACAACCAGAAAATCGGAAGTGGTGGTAGAGCGCTAGCCTTGGGTGAAAAAGCTCAGAGACAGCACCGAGGCCCTCAGTTCAGGCTCAGGACAGAAGAGACAGAGACAGAGAGAGACAGAGAGAGAGAGAGAGAGAGAGGAAGAAGAAGAACAAGAACAAGAAGAACAAGAACAAGAACAACAACAAGAACAAGAACAAGAACAAGACGAAGAAGAACAAGAACAAGAGCAAGAAGAGAGAAATGCAAAAAATGCTAGCTTCTCAAATAAGTACTATTCTCATTTTGCACCTGCCGAAACTGAATCTCAAAGATGTTAAGGAGCTTGCCCAAGATACTTGGATAACTAGTATACGCAAAGCTGGCATCTAAACTCAGATCTACCCAGCTGAGAGTCTATGCTCTTTACCATGTCACATTGACTCTCACATAGCACACGTGAAGTAATCATCCTGACACTTGTAAGTATCACCAGATAGGCTAAATAGATACACTGAATAATCTGAAAGAATTGTGGCAAGAGACTGCTATGTTTTCATCACAGCAAGATTGTATTCCTCAGCCTCCTGAGAAGCGGGGTATGGCTGTGTGACTGAGTTCTGTCCATTTGACTGTGGGCCATCACTTCCATGCCCACCTCCCTCATGCTCCTCCTCGGTGTTCTCCCCAATTCCATGCATAGGATTCAACAGGGATTCTGAAGTCCTAGGGGACTGGCAAGCCACAAGATGGGAGGAGCCCGGATCACCAAGATGAAGGAAGTCATGACACCAGACTTCAAATAAATGAGCACTCCATTGTCACCAATCAGTTGCTATTGGATTAAGTCACTGAGATTTACAGGCTTCAGGTTTTAGCACAAAGATATACCAGTTAAAAATCAGGACCTCATCTTGGTATGTGAGTAGCAGCTCCTCTCCCTCCCACTGCTTTCACCCCCATTCATGACAGACTCTGATTCTGTCTGGTTGTGAGGTTTATAGACAGGGGTATTAATTATATCAAGCATGTGTCGATAAATGTTCACAAAATCATTTTAGGTGGTAATGAGAGAGAGAGAGAGAATCCCACTAACATTCTAGTAGGAGTTTAGAACAATAAAAAGTATACAAGTAAAGTAACTGTAAAACATGGTAGTGCTATGAGGGAAATTAATATGACAGTGCAATATAGATGTAGCGGCATTACTAATGGGTGATGGAATGTCTCTATTATATAGGAGTACTCACACTCACATAAATATGCATGTTTGCAAGTGGTAAATATATAGTCATTCACCCATGTTCCTGGGGCTGGGGAAACAGCTGTGAATGAGACAGATAAATGACTGTTTTCATGAGGCTCACTTTATAATAAGGGAGACCAACAACTTAAAATATATAATTATGCTGAGTGCTGGTTACTCACACCTGTAATCCTAACTACTCAGGAGGGTGAGATTTGAAGCCCGCCTGCGCAGGGAAGTCAATGGGGCATCTTATCTCAAATTAACCACCTTAAAAGATGGAAATGGTGAGCCAGGTGCTGGTGGCTCATGCCTCAGGAGGCTGAGATCTGAGGATCATGGTTCAAAGCCATCCCAAGCAGGAAAGTCTGTGAGACTCTTATATCCAATAACCCACTCCAAAAACCAGAAGTGGCACTGTGGCTCAAGTGGTAGAGTGCTAGCCTTGAGCTGAAAAGCTGAGGGACAGCCCAGGCCCAGAGTTCAAGCCCTACAACCGGAAAAAAAAAAAGAGGAAAGTGGTAAAATAACAACAACAACAACAATAATAATAATCCAGTGGTAGAATGCTAGCCTCAAGCACAAAAGGTGGGTGATATTGCCTAGGCCCTGAGTTCAATAAATAAAGCAAGCAAGAAAGAATACTTATACATATATACGTATGCAAATAAACAATATATACTTTGAATGTAAGATAATTTTGTAAGGAAGAAATGATGTGCATACAAATAAGGGTAAGAAGGATGGCAGTATTCACTGAATTTTAAGTTAGGAGGGAATCTAGGGAAAGCTCTTGGCATATGGCATAAGACTCAAATACAGTGTTTCTGAAGTAAGTGTGTAACCGAGGCAAGTGGACAGGCCAATGCTGAAGCCTTGGCTGCTCCTAGTAAACAGAGATCCTCTGCAGATTATCACTATAGAAGTTCTCTAACACAGCTCCTGCTTCCATAGTGTCTAGTTTCCTTTCTCTGAGGTCAACTATACACCAGGGATCCAAAGGTGCAACCTCTATCATAAGAATAAAATTGAAACTTAAAAAACAAGTCCTTTTGGTTGGCCATAATAAATACAACAAGAACACTAGAGAGACGCACTTCAGAGCTTAAGATCTAAAAAAGAAAGGACAATATGTTCTTCACTTTTTCCCTTAAATTATATTTGTCAAGGCTAGTATTAAACAGGACATCAGTTTTAAAAGGCTTGTGAAAATTACAGAGACAAAGTAATATTACAGAAAATTCAGGGGGAAAAAATCTTTATCAACTAAGGAAACAGAATTTTTATTTCTGCATATTCCCATATAATTACCTGGTAGGGTAGCAATTCTAGTATATACACAAATCTGTATGCTGCTTGTTTTACTTAACATTTTAACAACATTATCAACACCTATAATTCTAGTTATCATAATTTGCCTAATTTAAGAAAATGTCACAACATTATTTTATTTTTTAATATTCCTCTGTCCTTAGGAATTATTAGGTCAGAAATATGTGAATATTTTTATGGCTTGTTACATAATGATACTTTATTTTCAAACACACTACAATTTCATTTTAAAGAGCTTTGTTTCGAATAGATATAAACCTAAGATGTTCTAGATGGACTAATCTCTAGTCTGGCAGAAAACTAGATAATGCCAGGGAATGTCAGTCATGTGCCAGCATATTACTAACAAAAATACTATTATCTTTCTTCTCAGTAGATTTGACTTTGTTATGCAGAACCCTAACTTCCTCCCTCACCATCTATGATGACTGTCAAATAAGAAATAATATAGAGGAATAAACTGCCATCATCATACCTGTTGGCCAGTCACTTGAAATGTCTCTTCCGCATGTATACATGTTATTTCAAGAGGTTCTGTCCCAGATACATGTCTTAACAATCGGCAGGTCTACAAAAAAAACATATATATAGTTTAATTTGTACACTCTAGTTGTTCAGAGTACCTAATTTATAATTTAATTTATAATTTAAAATAAATTTACATTCTACAAATAAAATGTAGTAAAATTGATTGGATTTGTATACTACATGATTTGTATACTGCATTGGCCATAAAATATTTTTATGATAAAAAGCAGAAATAAAAGTATAGGATATTGCTTTTATTTCCTATTTGATCACAGCAAAGTGGTTACAGAAAGTTAGTTAGCACCAGCAGGAATTTTTTTTCCTGGTTCTGAGGCTTGAACTCTGGGCCTGGGCACTGTCCCTGAGCTTCTTTTTTTTTTTTTTTGTCAGTTGTGGGGCTTGAACTCTGGGCCTGGGCGCTGTCCCTCAGCTCTTCAGCTCAAGGCGAGTGCTCTACCACTTGAGCTACAGTGCCACTTCCAGTTTTCTAGTGGTTTATTGGAGATAGGAGTCTCACAGTCTCTCCTGTCTGGGCTGGCTTTGAACTGTGATCCTCAGATCTCAGCCTCTTGAGTAGCTAGGATTACAGGTGTGAGCCACCGGAGCCCAGCGTTGAGCTTCTTTTGCTCAAGGCGAGTGCTCTACACTTGAGCCACAGCTCCACTTCCAGGTTTTTTGAGTAGTTTATTGGAGAAAAGAATCTCATGGAGTTTCCTGTCCAGGCTGGCTTCAAATCACGATCTTCAGATCTCAGCCTCCTGAGTAGCTAGAATTACAGGCATGAGCAACCAATTCAAAACTAAAGGAATTTTTGAAAGGACTGAGTGGTATGCATGAAGTCTGTATGAAGAAAATCTGGCTCAGAAAAGCCACCAATATCTTACAGCTAAACTCTGAGTTACTGTAACTTACACAACCTTTTTATCAACAAGTTATACTTCCCACCATGATCAGTTAAACACACTTCTAAAGAGTTAACAATGGGCTAGAAAGAGTGGGATAATAAGAAAAAAAGCCTCCATCATAGGGAATTGTTGAAAACCCTGAAACTGAATATGAAAACATTTTAAAATCTTGTTTTACTATTAAAAGAGAATTTCTACAGGATTCCTAAAATTAGCAAGTTTCCCTACAGTCATAATATTTGGCTTATGCATGTAACAAGATCAAATCTTTCAACAGAACCATGCCTACAGTCACTTAAGGAATGTTCTTCAGGGGCTGGGAAGTTGGCTCAGTGGTAGAGTGCTTGCCTCGCATGCATGAGGCCCTGAGTTCAATTCCTCAGTACCATATAAGCAGAGAAAAGCTGGAAGTAGTGCTATGGCTCAAGTGATAGGGCACTATCCTTGAGCTGAAGAGGTGAGGGACAGCGCCCAGACGCAGAGTTCAGCCCCCACAACTGACTAAATAAATAAAATTTTTGAAAATGATTTTTAAAAAGAATGTTTTTCAGATTTTCTAGGCTGCTATGTAACAAGTAAAGGACAACAAGCTAGTCCTAATGATCTAAAGACTATGTGTGAGCTTGTACATGTGTTGGCTAGGGATACCTTATACATACACAAGTATACATGGCTTATGGTTAGTTTCTCAAAACTAGAAGATATCCAGGATTTTCATTAGGCAGCAAACTCAGAACACCAACAAGGCAAACTGAATTTACAAAGCAAGTGACAGCTGGAACACAGGTAATACAAACAGATTAGAGCAAAGAAGAAGTGGCAGGCTAGGTGTCTACCTTCCTCCCTCCCTTCTTTCCTTCCTTCCTTTCCTCTTTCCTTCTTTCCTTTCTTCCCTATCCCTCTCTTCCCTTCTCAAAACCACTTTTTTTTTTTTTTTGCAGTCCGGTCATGGGGCCTGAACTCTGGGCCTGGGAGCTGTCCCTCAGCTCTTCAGCTCAAGGCTAGCCTTCTACCACTTGAGCCACAGCACCACTTCTGGCTTTTTTCTTTTTGTTTATGTGGTGCTGAGGAATCAAGCCCAGGGCCTCATGCATGCAAGGCAAGCACTCTACCACTGAGCTACCTTCCCAGCCCCTTTTGTTGTTGTTGTTGTTGTTTTGGGGGTCCGGTCGTGGGGCCTGAACTCTGGGCCTGGGTGCTGTCCCTCAGCTCTTCAGCTCAAGGCTAGCACTCTACCACTTGAGCCACAGCACCACTTCCGGCTTTTTTCTTTTTTCTTATGTGGTGCTGAGGAATCGAACCCAGGGCCTTGAGCATGCAAGGCAAGTGCTCTACCACTGAGCCATCTTCCCAGCCCCCTCAAAAATACTGACCTATGTTTTACACATCACAAAGACGTGAGGCCAAACTCTGCTGAAGTTTGACCTCAGAGGAGAGAAGTGAGGAGGGAAGGGGCCTTTATTCCTTGTTCCTTCCCTGCACGGTCACCTTACACTCTCTATGTACCCAGGCCCAGATCCACAGCCTCTTAAGGGAATTCTCAAACAGATTTCCAGGTCTTAACTCCTCTGTTAATTTGGACACAGCTATGTTATCATTAGCCCCAATTACTGCATGCTACTCAATGTTTTCCCACATTCTCTTTAGGTAGTTGTGACCCATTCACTTACTACACCCTCTTCAGATCATTCTAATGTGAGTACCTTTTCTGTCTGAACAGATTCAGGCAGAAACAAACTGATACAATGTACCTCCACTGTTTTACCCCAAAGTCTAATCTTTCAATGAGGATAAAGATTAAGAAATGCATTTGTGGGTTCTAACACTGTGTTATTGTTGTGTTTAGAGTCCAGACTATGGTTAAATCATACACTTTTTTAAATAAGTTTTTTATTGTAAATATAGTGTACAGAGGGGTTACAGTTATGTGAGTAAGGTAATGAGTACATTTCCTATCAAGCATTGTTACCTCCTCCTTTGTTTTTCCCCTATACTATCTCTTTAAAATAGCAAAGGAGAGAGAGAAAAATGTTCAGATAAATTAACCAAAAACTGCCTTGTCCTAACAGTCCCTCATGATACTTTATTATGAACTACAATTTCTTTAGCAAGCAAACATATTACTCACCTCAATGAGATGTTCTTTCTGTTCAGAGAGTTTACTCGCATATTCAGCCAAAGCCTCTAAATTTCCTTCTACTCCAGTAAGTTTTAATTCTTTTAAGACCACATGATCAGCATGGTATTTTAATAGATCCGCTGCCAGCTGCATGGCGGTACTATGAAGCTGCAGAGTGGGGGTGAAGGGTGATGGAAGACAGAAAAAAAAAATAACATTTTGTGGACAAGCACATGAAAAGCTGTATTAAGAACTGTAGAATGGAAGTCGCCAAAGCAGCCCCACTTGATCAGCTATAACCTCTCCCCTGGTTAAAACTGTGTAGTACTGACAACCTTATCAGTTCTCCCAAGGGCAGGGCCAAGTCTATTCATCTCTGAATCCCCTGGAACCAGCCGTACTGCTGGGTATAGATGACCTAGTCATCAAGCTCCTTCCCACATAGCTTCTCTCTTAGTTAAGAGTGTTTCTGCTACTCGTAAATTTGGGAACAATATTAAGAGTACAATATTCAGATCACTAAAAGGAAAGTGATATTGACATTTCTGATCATTAAGAGGGTTTTTTTTTGTTTTGTTTTTGGGTCGGGTCGTGGGGCCTGAACTCTGGGCCTGGGCGCTGTCCCTCAGCTCTTCAGCTCAAGGCTAGCACTCTACCTCTTGAGCCACAGTGCCACTTCCGGCTTTTTTCTTTTTGCTTATGTGGTGCTGAGGAATCGAACCCAGGGCCTCAGGCATGCAAGGCAAGCGCTCTACCACTGAGCCACCTTCCCAGCCCCTCATTAAGAGGTTTTAAGCTAGATATCAGTGGCTCCCACGTATAATCCTAACTACTCAAGAGACTGAGGATCATGAGTCAAAGCCAGCCTGGGCAGAAAAATCCATGCAACTCTATCTCTAATTCACTACCAAAAACCTGGAAGTGCTTCCAAAAATTGGAAGAGCACTAGCTTTGCACAAAAAAAGTTGAGGGATAATACCCAGAGCCAGAGTTCAAGCCCCAGTACTGGAACATATATCAGAACCTGAGTTCAAGCCCCAGTACTGGCACATATAACAGAGCCTGAGTTCAAGCCCCAGTACTGGCACATATACAAAAGCAAAAGATGTCTTTAGTATAAGTTTGCAGAGGTATCACTACGAGACTTGGTTAACTGAATATTCAATAAGAGGATACTAAATATCTACATCATGGCAGATACTGTACTAGAATCTAGATATACAAAACAGGTTGGTTACAATCCCTGGCTTCAGGGAATTACAATGTGTCTACCTACAGTTGCTATCCAGAACTCTACTCTCTAAAACAAATTAGGTCTCAGCAGAAACAACAGTTAAAAGGGTTTCCAAGGTTTTATTTCACGTTGAGAGGAATAGATCTTAAATATTCACTTTCATTTGATATCTTTGGGGGTTATTCATCTCTAAATCTTTTGTTGTATTTATTTTATCTAATGATGTGACAGTTACCCAGAAAAAGATCGCCTTAAAAACAAAAATGTTTTAAGAAAAAAATGTGAATTAAGCCTAGTTGAATGAAGCAATTTCTTTTTTCCTGGAAGCAATCAAATGTCAATTCAAATTATAGGACTTTCTACAAAATTAACAATAAGGTTGTCTGCATTCATACAAACAAGTGGTAATAATTACAGACAGAAACAAAGGCATTGAAACTCACTTTCCTTTAGAAACTAAATGCCATATAAGAATTGAAAATGATTTTGTTTAACCAGCAGGGCCTTAGAGAGTACCTACTATCAGTCACCTCTTTATTTGTGCCTATGATACAGGTCTATCGGGACTGAGTGAATTGCCAAGGTCATGTAACTCTTCAAATGGTTCTGGGACAACTTGTTAATAATTGTGAGAGAAGCAGAGAACAAACATGATGCTCCTGCTTTGTCCTGACAGCATATCATCTCACTTAATCCTTATAAAAAAATTTTCAGGGATGATGTGGCTATACCCATATAAGAGCTAAGAAAATGAAGCTCATGGAAGTCACTGGATCTATAGGATTTCCACCTGGTTAGTAAAAACTGAATAGGATGAAATAAAATGGGTAGGCTTGTTTTCAGAGCAGAGAAAGCCATATTTTAGATATAACAGGATGTTTAAAAATTGAGGTTTCAACAGAGGTGTCAGCTCCAAGTTAAGATGTAAAACAGATTACCAAGTATGTAATATATAAAATAAATATCCAAGACCTTTCATTCTGTTGGGTCATGACACACTTCACAAATATCATTAAATTAGAGACATAAGAGAAGAGAGGTTATTGTAAGGATCTGTCTAGAGAGCCAACGGGAGCTCATCAGGAACCTCCCCTGCTCCCGAAGGTGGAAGGAGCAATATGACATGACAATGTTATTATTGGGGCCAAAAGACACATGGGAACCTCTGACAAACACACTAAAGCATCTGTGAGAGAGAAAGCCTTAAATGACTATTGAGCCCAAAGCCATTTACAAGGGCACCAGTCACCAAGAACTCCGCCCCCTCCCTCCAATTTTCTATCTTCTTCCTGTGTTACAACCTGGCAAAAATAAATAATAGTAGCTATATCATGGAAGATGAAGGATTAAAAAGAAAGAGATCAGGGGCTGGGAAGGTGGCTCAGTGGTAGAGCGCTTGCCTTGCATGCTCGAGGCCCTGGGTTCGATTCCTCAGCACCACATAAGCAAAAAGAAAAAAGCCGGAAGTGGCGCTGTGGCTCAAGTGGTAGAGTGCTAGCCTTGAGCTGAAGAGCTGAGGAACAGCGCCCAGACCCAGAGTTCAGGCCCCATGACCGGACCCAAAAAAAAAAAAGAAAGAGACCACATCACCCTAAAAGTTCTAGGTGGAGCTGGAGAGAAGGAAATTGTCAAGTCAAGATACTGATGAGTACATTTGGAGTGAACACTCTGATTTCTGTACTGAGATTGTGTTTTATGACTGAAAGAAGGGATTGGTGAGCATTTCCTCTAAAGAGCCAAGAAAGCAAATATTTCAGGCTTTGCAGGCTCCACTACAACCAGCTAACTATGTTACAGACAGCAAACAGGACACAATATATACATATATGGGCAAGATGTGTTCCAAAACACTACTTACGAGAAGAGTCCACTGATTATATATAAATAAACCCCTATATGACTTTCAATTCTCTGCATGGCCTTGTACTTGCTAGGCTGGAGCTACCACTAAGCAATAGCTCCTGCCTTAGTTTTCACTAGTTAATTTTGGATAGGGTCTCACTTTTTATTTGGGACACACCTCAAGGATAATCTGCTACTTTAGGCTCCCCACAGTTTCACACAGCATGCCCTGTTTCCCTCTGTGGAGGGAGAGTCTCAGACTGTGCTGATCCTCCTAATATGACCCTTCCACATATCTTGAGATGATAGGCATAAACCACTGCACTTGGCTATGGATTAAGGAAGGGTCTCTCAAATTTGTCTGTATGGGTTGGCCTTGAACCACAATCTTTCCAATCTCAGACTCCCAAATAACTGGCTAGAATTAAAGGTATGTATCTCTTGTGTCTAGCTTACAATCAATATTTTGAACTTTTCTATTATTTCCCCAAACCTCCACACCCTCTCTGAAATAAAAATCCACTCATTTCTGCCCCATAGAAACCACAGATATGATTTGTGGCATTGAATTTGTTTTAACTTGTCCAGAATTTCTCTAAATGGATGTAATATAAATAGGTAGGTAGGTAGGTAGGTAGACAGACAGACAGACAGACAGACATATATTTTTGTGCCTGGCTTTTCTTTCAGCTTAATGTTTTCAGTGATTCATCCATATTGTCAAATATATTAATATTGTCCCTTTTTACTGCTAAATAGTATTTGGTAGTTATTCCAAAGCCATTTATCAATATTCCTCTTGATTAAACTTAAATTGCTTCCAGATATTAGCTGTTATAATAAAACTGAGAGAGAGAGAGAGAGAGAAAAGAGAAAGTATAAGCTTTAAGGATTCAGCAACTAAAATACTTAGCTTCAAACTAACAGTGCCAAAAGAAACCTTTTAAAACATTTTCTAGGCACAGGGACATGCTAACATCCATCTACTTACACATTTCACATAACATGAAAATTAGAAATGAATTGTATGAGGCTGGATTTCACAATATACTTACTTCTTTCTTAAGTTCATTGAGACTGTGACTTATTTTCAAAATACTGAGTTCCAGTTCTTCAGCAATGCTTTTTGTTTTCTTGCTTTGCTAAAAAATTTTAAATGGTATATATTTAGGGTTAACTTATCTCTTAAATGTTATTCTAATTTTATATAAACTATAAATTATAATAAACTTTAGTAACATAACTGCTTTTTAAAGTAAAGAGTGCAAAATAGGATTCTGGTTAATCACTGCACCTTCCGAACTGTAAAAAGTTGATTTAATTTTAATCGTATTGATTAAAATTTTTATGTAAGGAATTTCACGTTGTGCTTCTTTCTCTGTTCATAGTTCCTCTAAAGCTGAAGTTCAAGATTTCTCCTTAAGTCTGTCTTTAAAATAATTGTTACTTAATTCAGCCCAGAATCATTTTATTTGGGCTTTTTCTATCTCCATTTGAATTATAGATACATTGATGACAACTTCAAAGATCTACATCTGAGATCTTTGGAATCTAATTTCCTTAAGCAGTTTATGTCAGGATCACACACAGGGTAGATACACCTGCCTGGTTCTCAACCCATGATGGCCCTCTTCTGTAAATATGAATGTGTTCAGAATGTATTCATCCCCACCACACTCAGAAATAATAGAGAACTATGGAATATGCCAATACCTAAGATACAAAAGCATTCATAGGTCTATTATATAAACGGTCTTGTAGTTGCTTCCCACAGATCTAAGGCATAGTCTTATGAATAAAATAAACCATAATGGTTGTATGAGCTGCATCCAATAAAGTATGGCTACAAACTGTCCATTGGGATAAGCCTCAACTAAACAGATGAATTTTTAAAACCTATTTTTTAAAAATAAGTTAATCATGTCTGAAATTTATCTCTTTTATTTTCTGTCTGGACTGTTTATCCCTTCACTATTAACACAGTTAAAACACAAAATTCCATTTGTCTTTAGGACATTACATAAATGTCTGTTTCTCACAAAGGCTGGCTCAGATCACTTAATCTAAGTGAAATCCTCTCTTAATCCACTCAATTTTTTTCTCTAAGTAACCATCCAAGTTTGCTATTGAATATTCTTTTTGAATTTTTACTTTTTGTCTGTTTCAAGCTGCCTTCCCTGTTAGACATATAGGTGGCCCGTGAACATTGGGGTCACATCTGATTTGCTCCACTTGAATCCAAATAGTGCATGGCATAGAATGCAGCAGGTAGCAGGTATTCAGTTCTCTGTGTGAGTAAATCAAAGTGAAATGCCAGAACCTTTACGAAGTGTACTTGATTCCTCGCTCTAAATGTGTCCCCACTTTCAAACTCTCTCAACACATGGCCTACACCTTATCTCCTTTTCTTCTTTCCTTCCTTCCTTTCTTTCTTTCTCCTTTCCTTCCTTCCTTCCCTTTTTTCTTTCCTTTCTTCCTGTCTTTTCCTTCCTTCCCCCTCTCTCTCCTTCTCTCTCTCCTTCTCTCTTTCCCTCTCTCTCTCCCACCCCCATGTCTCACCTCTACCTAGACTTTTCTACATTGTAAAATAATTCAAGGGAATGACTTTTTATCTGATTCAGCTTTATATTTCTAGGGCCTGGCATATAAAAGATGCTCAGTAACAACTGTTGGGGGAAAAGTGGATGAAAAGTCCATTTGGCAAACAGAACTCAAGATCAGAGTGCTTGTGAAGGATGGTGTTGCAAGGTGAAGTACTGATAGAATCAGACTCCCAACACAGCACTCCATCATAAGGAACTCAATACTCAATGTTAGCTTAAAATTTAACACTGAGTCAATTTAATCTTCAGACATACTATCACACAGATAATGCAAATTATGCACAATTCTTTTATACCACTCTACCCTAGGGCAAGATTCCCCATCAGTATGAGCACTTGCCCTGTTCTAATGTCATTACAATATCTGAGACATCTATGATTCAGATCTACTCTTCATTGATATCAGATTAGTTACCAGGAAGTAAACTGCTGCTTCCCTCTTCAAAATTTCAACCACAAACACATTCAGATTTTTTTTTCTACCCCTGCTGTGTACTGTAAGCCATGTGAAATACTTTTCTGGCATAGCCTAGGTCAAAGCAGTAAAAGGTGCCAGAGACATGTTTCAGGCTGTCTCCTGTTTATGTATCTACTGCTGTGAGATCCCAGAACATGCTTCCCATCATCATTTACCAGTCCTGCCCAAATAGTTTCCCAGATGAATCCTATTTTAGGCCCAAGAAGTGACTTCATCAGTTTAGACTGGGAATCTGTGTAAAGGATAAGTATCTTTCACCTGCCTGCTAGATCTATCCTTGTCTTTGTTACATCTAGACTTGAATAAATGTTTTAAAGCACTAAATTAGCTGTCCTCAGAGATAAAAACTATTCACATCTGAATGGCTCCGGTAGTAAGATTCAGATCACGAGAGCTTCTAAGTACAGATCTACTTCTCTGCTCTTTACTCTGAAGAAGCATTTTAGAGAGGAATCTTTCAGAAGCGAGTTTGGTGTAAGAATGGGGACAAAAGAGTGATATAGTAACATATAATCCAGCCGGAGCATAAGAAGAATCAATAGTGCTAGAAAGGTCAGGTACAGTGAAGATATTTTGGTCAATTGGAAGGAAAAAAAGGGATGATGTATTCTTGTCCCATGCTGGCCAAATTCATACTCCTGGTAAGCTTCCACATCTCTTAAAAACCTTAGAAAAGGCAATTGTCTCAAGATTTACTATGACAAAACATTTCTTACAGCTGGGATCCACACAGAAATGAATTGCTGCAGTTCTGTTCTCGCCTGAGTTGACAATTCCAAGATGCGTTCCCTGTGCTCATGGCTGGTATAGGCAGAATCAGTGAAGTCCTCTGTACGTTCCAAAATGATTTCCAAGGTCCCAGAAAGATTTTCTTGGGAATGAAAATAAGGATTCTCCCGAAGAGCATCAATATTCAGCTGAGAACGAAAAGGACATACATCCACATGAGTACTCTTACCTAACCAAAACAGGCTAACAAACCCCAGGAAACCATAGCAATTTCTTTCCCAGGTTGATAGAAAATACAGCCTTCAATGATAACTGCCTTCTACAGTAACCTAGGAGAACAATGCTCAAGAGTCATCAACGGCAATACAAAGTTTCAGTCCACAGTTGTTAATATAATTACATTTTCCAGGAGATCAGTGAATACCAAGACAGAGAGAGAATCACCACACAGAACTGGAAGGAAAAACAAACCAGCCTCCAGGAAGATGATCTGGACCTGAGAAAATAGTTAGGCAAAGTCCTGAAAGATATGTTATACCCAAATACAATGTGTGCTGAAAGCTGGTGGGAGTGAGGGTGGAAGGTGTGGTAGGTAAAACGGACTAGGAAATGCGTCTACTTTGACTCAACTATTTCAACAAAAACTGTTCAAGTCACCTGATTAATCTCCTTACTTTTTTTTTTATGTTCCCAACAGCACCTCACTGGTCTAAACATCCTCTACCAGAAGACCTACATAACTTTGATTCTGCCCCATAATCTATACTTAAGTCTTCCCCATCTACAGAATAAAGCCTTAACTTCTAGCACAAAATCATTCATGCATGCACACAAACACACACACACACACAATATATCTAGGTCAGTCTATCTTACCTCATGAGCTCCAATGCAACCTTTTGCTTCAGCCAGTGTTTAGAGTTCCACAAAAATGTAATAAACATGACCACTTATGTACTCTTTCTCTCTCAGCTTTCAAAGATCTGCTTCACTGTTTAAACTTTAACTTCTAGTCCATGAAATATGTGACCCAGGGAAGTTGGATCAAGAGGCAAAAAGCTCACAATGAACGGTCTGACAAGGATAGCTTACATTTTGTTTGCACGTTAAAGTACTGTCACAAATTTTTCAAGTTTACATATGACCTGTTTAAATATGAACCATGAAAACACCGAAGTTTGCAAAGGCCATCTAGAGAAGTCTGCCACCACTTCCTTTGGCCTAGGTTGTGTCCAATCATCTCTCCATTCTAAGTACTCAGAATGTTTTTGAGCTAAGAATAAATGTGGATAATAGCTATGGAATGGACAATGAGAATCTGAAAATTCAAGAACTTACATAATGGAACTATAAAAAAGTTATGTGGATCTCACATCACCACTTATTCTTTTTAGGCTTTTTTGCTTGTTTTTTATTTTCCTTTTAGATAGAACATATGCATATTTTCAAACAGCAACCAAGAAGAATATTGTGGGTCTTTTAAAGAACTATTCACTTATGCTTTCATAAGTTTTGCCCATTTATTCAGAGGCATAGCTGAAAGTTCATAATCAGAATAAATGGACAAGAACCAAAAGCCCAAAGAAGAGTTTACAACCCTGTCCTTACAAAATGCAAATAATTATGTTCACCTAAAAGGACAGTTAGGATTTAAACAAGATAATAAATTCATTAAGGGCACAGACCTAAAAATATTGTTTCCATTATTTACCCAGTTCCACCTTTAACCTTCTTCATACAATTAGAAGTCAATGTGCAGACAGGAGGATAGAAAGAAAACCATCTTGTCTCAGCCCTGCTTGCTAGAGTTGGGTATTGCTTAGCATATTAGATAACTCTCCAGGGCCTTGGCTTTCCCATCTACTAAATGATGGTATGATAATAGATGATTTCCTAAGATCTTCCCTCAAATTTCTGACTGGAGTCAAATCCCAACCATTTCTTAGCCAGAAAGCTACTTTCATCTCTGTCTCTCAGTCACCTCAACAGCACAGTAGTTCTTATGAGGGTTATATGAGCTCACGTGTTCAAAGTACTCAGATCAGGGAGGGCACAGAATAAGGACTCAAAAACGTTAGTGTGGCTAACATTGAGCTGGTGGCTCACACCTCTAATCCTAGACAATCATGAGGCTAAGCTCTGAGGATCATGGTTTGAAGCCAGGTCAGGCAGGAAAGTCTGTGAGACTTTTATCTCCAATAAAGCACCAAAAAACCCCAGAAGTGGAGATGTAGCTCAAAGTGGTAGAGCACTAGCCTTTTTATTTTTAAGTTGTAATTATTGTTTATGCTATTATGATTGCTACAGTCTCCAACTATCACCCCTCTACTACAAGCCAGAGCAGGAATTCTAACAGAAATGATTTACTGCTTGTATGGTACTATTCAATAACATGAGAAGGAAACATCCTTCTAGACAGGAGGCTACAAACAAACCATAGAATCAAAAGAGCCAGAGTAGCTACTATAAGCAAAGACTAGTATTCTTTATGAATATAACACTAAGTCAAAATTACTGAAAATTATGTTTGTTCATAGTGTGGCATTGCTTTTAAGAGATTTATTCGTTTTTGTGAAGCATCATTCTTCATCATTATACAAAAATATGGATACTCCATATAATAACACTCCCTTAAAATGGCAAGAAAAGCATCAAAATATATTCAATCCTTACCTTGAACTCTCTAATGCCAGTAAATATACTGATTGATGATATATCCATCTCTCCACTTGGCTTACTGTCAGTCACAATCTCAATGACCTTATCCAACGCCACTTTCATTCGGTCAAACACTCCTTCTTTGTTTTTATGGGCTGATTCACAGTTTGGATGCCTGAGACACGTCTTCAAAACAATTGAGGGTTTTTTTTTTAATTTTAGTATTTGACCCATATAGTATTACATAAAATCTTACAGAGAACATGTCATGCTAATAAAAATGGTTCTTTACCCAAATCTCCTGGATCCCTGGCTCCCCCAGCTGCCTCTCCTCACTAAAGCGGAAGCAGGATGAGTAAAAAGCGATAGCAAGGTTAAGTGAAAAAACGCAGAGCAAAACCGTATCTGTATAGTATAATATTACGTTTACGTAAAAATGGCTATTCAGCATGGCTAAAATTAATTAATTATTTATTTAGGAACTGTGGATTGAACTCAGGGCCTCATGCTTGTTTGGCTAGAACTCTGTCACTTGAGTCATGCCTCCAGCCCAACTCTTTGTGCTGTTTGGAAATGAAGGCTAGTGGATTTTTTTTTTCTTTTTGGTTCAGGCTGGCCCTGAACTGCCATCCTTAAAATTGCAGCCTTCTGAACAGCTAGAATTACAAAGGGGAGCCACTAGTGCCTGATCATGCCTCATACATGTATGAAGTTTAAAAGAAGAAGGAAAAAATGCACAAGATGATATATAATTATGACTGCTGCACCTTTGAGTTAAAATAAAAACCACTCAAAACTATCCAATGGACTACATAGAAACACGGCTTTCTGTGAAGTCTCTGCTTTTATGGATGCATTGATTCTAGCAGAGAAGTAAATGATCTCAGGTAAATGTTCTAAACAAACGGCTAGTGACACATTTACTAATTCATTCTTGAATTGTATAAATTTGCTAACCAACAGCTGTTTGAAAATATAAGCTCTTGATTAATAATTTTGTAAAAATAGAAAACGAAACTAGAGGTTAGAATTTATTGACCGAAGGGCTGATTCTGATTCACACCCCACAGTTAATTTAGCTAATCCTAACTTATCCAGCTCTTTCTAGTGAAAGTACACTAGCTCCTTGGGGGAATTAGCAAAGCCTACAGGGAGTGACCAAGACTGAGAGATATGTCCTCACAGCACCTGCTTTACCCTGTCTGCCTAGACGCCAAATCAAAGTTCCTCATAGACTCATTATTGTGTAAAACTAGGGAAGAAAGTTTAGCATTCTTGCAAATAACTGAGGTTTGACTCTTTAGGCCTAGGTTCTTAGTTACTACTTTAATCTCTTTAAAAATGTAAAGTGCATAAACTAGATGCTTTTGATCAGGTCCTCTAATCATTAATTTACAACACAGTAAAACAGAACCCTTCTTACCTTTGAAGCAGTTAGAAGCATCATTGTACCCTTTTCAAGAACTGCCCTAGCTGCTGCCATTCTTGCTTTTCTCTTTTCATCTTTCAAATCCTTTAAATAAAATAAAATGATTGAGTAGTCTATGATCACATAAGCAACCCAATTCTTTGAAAAATCAAATTTATTCATTAACAATACCCCAAAATTTAGAAACACTCTTAAATGAAGATAAAAAAGAACATGGGATAGTTTTAGACACTGTCACTGCTTCAATTTACGTAATGATACCTAAATTCTAAGATACCTATATTCTAAGAATGCTATGTTAATTTAGTTCATTTAGCTGAACCCTGGTAGTCAAATGGAAAGGTTTATAAAAGAGAAAGGACTTGAATTGGGCTTTCCAGACAAGTATTCCCACTGGAAACATATTTAAGTGTTACATGTGGACCAAAAAAAAAAAAAAAAGACCTATTAGTCTGTACGCTGGCTTGTAAGACCAAGGTTATAAGCAAAATACCCAAACCAAGTGATTGGAAAAATAATCGCACCTTCATCCAAACTAGCGTATGAATTTATGTAAAGGCTTTACAATGTGAAAGATACATACATTCTGTCTATCTCCAGTTAGATGTGCAAACTCCACCATCTCATTGCCAAACTGACTGAAAATTTGGACAAACTCTTGAAAGCTATTTACTTTTTCTAGTCTTTCCATCGTTGCGAGAACCTGCAAAACACAGAGTATCTTATTATTAGGTGGCAGAGAGGAGAGAGACTGAGACTTTCAAGCCTGAGTAGAATGAATGAAAAGGGGAAAATCTTTTCAGCTTTTAGAGGAGACAGAAAAGACATAGGAGAGGGCCAGAGAAGCGGAATCTGGTTCAAAGATTTAAAATATTAAAGGATTGATTTGATTTAGGGTTAGGAAGGTTAAGCTTACTTGAAAATCAAAATGATTCAATAAATGATCAAAATGATTCAAAATTAGGATCATTTTTGCAGTCAAGTCTAAAGAAGGAGAGAATGTGTAGGCCATGCTATGGTTGGGTATGAGCTGAATGTGTCCCCACAGACTCTTGTCCTGGAAGCTTGTTGATGTGAGGAGTGGTGGGGCCTGCGAAAAGGTAGTTAAGTTACTGGAGGTATTGCCTTGAGAAGAATTAATGTAGTCCTCGTGCAACCCATTGACAATGGACTGTTATTAAAGACCATACTGGCCCTTCTACATTCTCTGGCTGTTTTGTTTTTTGGTGGGTCATGGGGCTTGAACTCTGGGCCTGGGCGCTGTCCCTCAGCTCTTCAGCTCAAGGCGAGCACTCTACCACTTGAGCTATGGTGCCACTTCCGGTTTTCTGGTGGTTTATTGGAGATAAGAGTTTCATGGACTTACCTGACAGGGCTGGCTTTGAACCACAATCCTCAGATCTCAGCCTGCTGAGTAGCTAGGATTACAGGCATGAGCCACCAGTGCCCACCCTGCATGGCTTTTGGTCTTATCATGTGATCTTTCTCCCTCTTACTCTTATCATGGTGAAGTCATCTACCATAAAGCTCCTGCTAGAGGCTGAGCAGATGAGGGTGCCTAATCTTGGAAAGTCAGCCTCTAAAAGTAAACTAAAGAAGTATCTCCTTTATAAAGTACCTAGCCTTAGGCATTTTGTTACAGAAACAGAAGACTGGATAATGTAGCAATTAAATCTTCTCAGACTAAGAAGGCCCAGAGGACAAACACACACACACACACACACACACACACACACACACACACTCACAGAGGAACACTTCAAAGACCCAGGATCAAAGGAAAGAATCGGAATCTTCTGAGGAAAATAGGAGGAAGGTCACCCAAAGAATGAGGAGTGAAAATGGAAGTTTACAATTTAAAAACAGGAAAACATTTTGGATCAGTCAGGGACTGCCTATGTTCAGTAAACTAATTACCAAGAAGTTCCAGACAGTAGGAGTTGGATAGGGTATGAATCTGTACAAGAGTAATTTTGTATTTACTTGACATAAACAAATAAATAGGCATGAAACATATTTTCAAATACTTTTCTCTAAAATTAATACAGTAGTGGCGCTGTAGCTCAAGTGGTAGAGCGCTCGCCTTGAGCTGAAGAGCTGAGGGACAGCGCCCAGGCCGAGAGTTCAAGCCCCACGGCCGACAAAAAAAAAAAAAAAAACTTAAAATTAATACAGTACTGTATGTATTAAGTCAAACAGAAAGTTTAAAAAAAAAAAACACAGATATCCTGTGTTTAATGAGGAAATGATGGCTATTTGGCACCTTAACCTTCCCTGGCAGCTCAGGAAGCACAGGCAATTAACACAGATAAGGCAGAGTGCCTTACTGAGCTAAGTCATCACTTTGCAAAAAGGAAGTTTGTTTCTTTCCTCTGGCATTACCTGATCCATTGCTCCAATTACTGTTTCTCTTTAAACTTATATCTTTTTGATTCAGCCAATATTCACCAGGTAGTTCTGTCCTGGAGTCCTATTCCTTCATAGGCTGACTGTCCACCTCTAGCCAGAGGAACCATTTAGGGAAACGTACAGGCAGGTGCTAGTGGCTCATGCCCGTAATCCTAGCTATTTAGGAGGCTAAGATCTGAGGAGTGAAGTTCAAAGCCAGCCCAGGCAGGAAAGTCGGGGAGACTCTCATCTCCAATTAACCAGCTAAAAGCCAGAAATGGAAGTATGGCTCAAGTGGTAGATTGCCAGCCTTGAATGAAAAAGTAAGAGCATGAGGCCCTTAGTTTAACCCCAGTATTGGCACAAAGAGAGAGAGAGAGAGAGAGAGAGAGAGAGAAAGAGAGAGAAAGAGAGAAAGAAAGAATATCCACTCCTAGATGATCATGGATCAGGATGATCACCTGTAAGACTATAATGCATCTCAGACTTCTGCAATAATGCAGAAATATTTAGGACATTCTACATATAGAAATTTTGTAGCTGTTCATATTATAATGTCAGATGATTTGTTTTAGTCTTAAGCATATACATTGTTGTTCTCTGACTTAGAAAAGAAAGTACAAAGAACTCAGCACTTTTATCTACTAGATTCTACTACACACATTAAAATGGTGCTAGTTCTTCCCAAATGTACACATTTATTAATAAAAATAAATATGAGCAAGTAGATAATACTTTTCTGAAAAATATTATTTGCCTTCGAAAGTTTAGACCTTGTATACACATAAATTAAGAATAACAAGCATAGATGAAACACTATCGACGACAATCATGATAAACAATTATACCAGACACACACTGCCAAATTATCTGGAATCAATACACAAAGCACTTTGAACAATTCTGGAAGACAAATATATAGCAAGCAACATCAACAAAGAAAGTACCTTACTGCGTGATGTTATTATTTGTTTAATGACTACTCGGTCTGCCAACAACAACACCTTTGTCACTGAAGAAAGAAGTAGTCTTGCAGCCTTTATGACTCCTGTTTTGTCTGTAAAAATCGTGACCTGGCCATCAGATTCTGAATTCATGTTGGATACATCAGTAAGTGCTGCAATTGTTTCTCCTAACAAGAAAGGGAAAAGTTAAAATGGGGCAGGGGGGGAAATCCACATAAAAAGAAGACTTTTCTCTGATCTTGACTATAACATCAAGAACAACTCAGATCTGAAGTCGAATTTCCTTCTCCTTGAAGAATCATATGACATTTGCAAATAATAAGAGCACACACTTCAGAATTATGACAAACGGTTGCTTCCACCCAGTTTGAAAAATATAGTTTTCTTTTCCAGTGGCATGGCCAACCAACACACAATCTAAAACTCTCCTGCTCTGCAATACAGTAAGAAACATCCTAGGAGTCAAAGACCACCGAAGAATCACAGGAAGCAGTAGCAAGGAGCTAAGGCTTGGGCTGGGCTGGGCTGAGGGAATTAGGAACAGGTCATTATCAATTGCTACAACCTAAAGGAGCTTGGGTATAGAGATATCCAAAGAGAACACAAAGATGAGGCTTTGGGCCCAGGGGTATTTTCAATGAGGAGTCAGGGATGGAAGGAGGCACAGACAATGAGCAAAATCCTGGACTTAGAATGAGGAAAGTAAATAAAACAAAAACATACCCTTGAGCATTCAAATCTGGGGCTGATCATCCCTCAGACACAGCACACAGTACTCTACAAAATGAACTTCCAACCCTGGTAAACTCTCCTTCTCAGTTGGAAACCTTTTGATTTCTACAGCAGCAATTATTCATCAAAAAGTAAAACAAAGTTTGCTTTCCTAAAAGATAAAACCAGGCTAGAAGCTTCCCCAATGCTGCTTACTGTTCCAGTTAACACAAAATGAATAATAGTATTTTAGTATTCAATAGAATGTTTAATTCCTAAATAAAACTGTAAGTAATGATTGATTTTATCACAAAAAACTCAGATTTATTATATACATAATGTCTTAGCCATTAGGGAAAGGATCTCAAGTAAAAGTATTCATGTTTTAATGGACAGACTACAGGATCTGAAACACTAGAGTTAGTATTTAGAAAGATAGTTTGGTGGAAGTATGTAGAATGGACTAACTGGAAAGGATGGGCTTAAAGCCAGGTTTCTATTTCAGTCATGGATGTGACGTACTAAGGACTTTGAGCATAGTAGACATTAGAATATAAGGAATATTATTTGGGAGAAACTGTGCAAAGAAAACATTTTAAAAAACTGAGTATATAACCAGTGATAAGAAGACTGAAAAACAGCTTCACCATTGTAAACCTAAGTCATTTTAACCAAATCTTAAGGGCACAGGGAGGAAATGATGTACTTAATGTCAGACTACAGGAATTTTAAATAGCACAGGAATCCAGAACACATAAGCCACTAAATATGGACCAGTGGTGCAGATTTGGACATTGTGTGTATACTAGCAATAGCTAAACTTTACCAAGATGAAAGTGTGTGATTGTCTCCATGATCCTTCCAAAAGAGCTCCACCTACTGGTATTCACATCCTGAGCTGTTTCCTCCTACGTAATAGTAGGGCTGGTATGTCATTCCCAAGATTAGGTTATAAAATCCTGAGGTGGCCACCTTGTTCTCTCTCTGTTTCTGAAAGAAGTCAACTGCCCGGTCACAGGAAGCCCTAACTACAGACAGGCTGATAGGGTGAGGAACAGCCATCAAGGAAGTAAAACCTTGCCCACACTATGGGAAGGAGTTTTGAAAGAGTTCCCACAGGCCCCTGAAGCCTTCAGATAACTGAGTCCCAACTGGCATACTGGCACAGTCAGAGGATGCTGTGACCAGAACTACCCAAGGAAATCTCACCAATTCCTGACACTCAGAAACTGCAAACAGACCTCTGGGATCTTATGTTACTAAACTAGGGTCAGACTGTTATGCAGCAATACAAAGTTCTATATTACAGTTTTTATAGCAAAACATACAAAACTCAAGTAGTTAGAACTAAAACTTAATCTACACAGAAAGGGACAGGAAGAAAAGTATGTGTAGCAATAGCTGAAAGAATAAATATTTCCTCTGTTTCCCTGGGATGTGTTTAAATTTTTCTTATAGTTCTCAATCACCAAAGATATTACATAGGAGCCTGTTTAATTTTCTTTTTTCTAAATGAACCAGACATTTTACTCTTAAGTATGTGGATGGTGACATTGGGCCAGCTCTGCCAACAATGGTCAAATGCTTTCTTAATATTATAATGTTGTTCAGGGAACAGTTTGTTAAGAAACTAGTTCTCTAAGCAAGTGAAAAGTTGTCATAACTTTATGGTTGCCACTTCTAATTTATCATAAACAACTAATTAGTATTCTTTCCTAAAATAAAAATTCAAAGACACTCAAACACAAATATTTATTGAGCTTTTAAAAATATAAAATATAAACATTTTCTGCTAGTAAAATCAAAAAGTAAAAACAATGCAATGATTCATGCAAGAAAGGAATAAAAATTAATTATCAAGCCAAGCACTGGTGGCTCATGCCTGTAAGCCTAGCTACTCAGGAGGCTGAGATCTGAGGATCACAGTTCAAAGCCAGCACAGGCAGGAAAGTCCATGAGACTCTTACCTCCAATAAACCATTCAGAAAACCAGAAGTTGTGCTGTGGCTCAAGTGGTAGAGTGCTAGCCTTGAGCTGAAGAGCTAAGAGACAGCGCCCAGACCCAGAGTTCAAGCCCCAGGACTGACAAAAACGAGTAAGTAAATAAATAAATAAAAATAATTATAATGACCATAATATTTGTTTTATGTGACAAATGAATATGTGCATTATTCAAGGTATTTCTTTTGTTTGGGGGGGGAGGGTCCGGTCATGGGGCCTGAACTTTGGGCCTGGGTGCTATCCCTCAGCTCTTCAGGTCAAGGCTAGCGCACTACCACTTGAGCCATAGCACCACTTCCGGCTTTTTTTTTTCTGCTTATATGGTGCTGAGGAATCGAACCCAGGGCCTCATGCATACAAGGCAAGCGCTCTACCACTGAACCACCTTCCTAGCCCCTCAAGGTATTTCTACAAACACTAATTCCCCACTGTATAGATAAGAATACAAATTTTGAAAAGTGTAATAGTTTTCCCAGAGTCTCTCTAAGATTAACAACATGAAGAAAGTGGTATTGAAATCCAAGTAATCTGGTCCAAAAACTCTAGTTTTGTTTTGTTTGTTTGTTTGCTGGCACTGGGGTTTGAACTAAGGTCCTGAGTATTATCCTTTAGCTTCTTCATTCAAGACTGGTACTCTACCACTAGATCCATAGCTCCACTTCTGTTTTTTTGTTTGTTTGTTTTAAGGTTAATTGGAAATAAGAGTGTCTTAGATTTATCTGCCCTAGTTGGCTCAAATCATGATCCTCAGATTTCAGCCTCTGGAGTAGATAGGATAACCAGTGTGAGCTACCTGTTTGGGGTAAGCTCTAGCTCTTTAACACTACTTTGTATTCTCAAATGAATGTAAACTGCCAAGAGGGAAAAAATGTTTAGTAAGGGTTGACTGGCCAGGAATATTTTAGGAGGGATTTAAGTCAGCTTAAATCTGTACATATTTAAGGAAGAACTGGAGTGGGGCATCCCTATTAGAGATCTGTGCCTCCAGAAACCACTGTTGTCCTTTTCTTCTTTGAGTAACTTTAGGAGGCAGATCTCATGAAGAGAAAGGCATTCTAAAAGAGAAGAGATGACATGTGGACCAATGACACCTAGTGGCTTCCAGAAGACCCCATCTATGCTGGGCCCAGCTCTCTGCTGGCCAGTGTACTCATGTTCCTCCTACCCCTGGGCTGAGCACAGTGATGTACTACAAAACCAACAGAGCGAACAGAACCTGTGCTGCCCTTCATTTGGAATCCTCTACTTCTGCATTCAGTCCTCATCTTCTGGAATCCTCTACTTCTGCTTCCTTCCAATTGTCACCTTCTACATTTCATATTCATAACACAAAAATATTTCTGTATTTTTGACATTGTCCATTGCTTTTTTTTTTTTGGTCATGGGGCTTTAACTCTGGGCCTGGATGCTGTCCCTCAGCTCTTCAGCATTTTACCACTTTGAGCCACAGTGCCACTTCTGGGTTTTTCTGCTTATGTGGTACTGAGGGATCAAACCCAGGGCCTCATGCATGCAAGGCAAGCTCTCTACCACTGAGCCACCTTCCCAGCCCTCTATTGCCTTTTATAATGCCTGTTTTATAAGTGCCCACGTAATAGTTTGGGGCCAGGAAAAAAGACTCTCTCCTCCTACTAGCTGGTCTGTTTCCTTTCAGCAAACAATGAGAATTATATAACCCTTTGTTTCTCACATTTTTGTCTTGCCTTCCAGGAAGTACAAAGATAAATTTCATGCCTAATTAAGATAATCATGTTTGCCCAAGCATCTAGTACATTTACTTTCATCTCTTATTTTAATGGGTTCATTGAGCATGTCTTTTTATTACAAATAATTCCATATCCTGTTTAAAAGTAAGAAAAACATAAATTATAAATATAATAAAGCTATCTCCCCTAGTTCCCACATAAAACCTACTCTCTAATCCAGCAAATGGCTAAAATCCCAAGGGCCAACCCCATGTCCTCCTCTTATTTTTAATTAACAATCGTGTTCTATCTATTCAACCACCTAATGAGTATATTGTGCATTCTTCCTGTTCTTTATAACTCTATTTTACTGTCTTGGTCTAGGAGTTTTTATTGCAAAGCTTCATGTTAATCTCCCTGCCTTCATTCTTAAGCCTCTCTCAACCTGCTTTCATTCATTCATTCATTTCTCTTCTGTACTGTTAAAAAGATTTTTCTAATACAAAACAGTGTATTGATATGTTAAGTCATTCATGTTACATATGGAACTCTATGATCTGGGTAGTGCTACCATATTTACTCAGCCACGTTCCACCCAGTTTTTTTCTCCCTGAAGACCCTCCCAAGATACCTGCTCATGTCAGAAAATGGCACCATTGTTTACTCAACTATCTGGACCTCAAACCTTGGAATTATCCATGATTCCTCTTTTGGTCACATATTCCATCCAAATCATCAGCAATCCTCTCAGATCCACCTTGACAATGTATCCAAGTGCAACTGCCTTGTAGCACCTCAAGTGGTATCACCTCTCCTGGGTCACTACTGTCCATCACGTGGACCACTGTAACAGGCTCCTATCTGGCTTCTCTGACCCCATCTGCATATCTCCTAAAATCTACGACTAGTTTAAAAGGAACCACCAGTTATCTTTTAAAATATAAATGAGATTATGTCACTGACCTGCACAAAATCTCTCACTAGACTCCTCCTGTTACATTTAGAACACATCTAAAGTTCCTGCCTTTCATTGCCTGAAACACAGATACCTATTCTCACTTCTCTTGCCAGGAATGGCCCTTGACCACATAGGTAGGCCCCTCATTTACTTGCAGTCTCTGTTTCAATATTCTTTTCTCAATAGAACTAACTCCTTCTAGGGCAATTGTTCTCAATTGAGAGCCATTTTGATTCATCTAGGGACATTAAATATGTCTGAAGATATTATGGTTTGTCACACGTGGGAAAGCGGATCCACTGGCATTTATCAGGTAGAAGCTAGGGATGCTGTTGATCATTACAATGTGCAATGCAACCCTTCACAGCAAAGAATTATTCCCCCCAAAATGTCATAGAGTCCAAGTTGAGAAAGCACCTCCACTCATCTCCTAAGCCTTTCCTTACATTATTTTATTCTTCATGATCATGATCACCACCTGACATTATATATTTTATTCATTTATTTGTGGTCTGTCACTGTCATTAGAATACAAGCTCCATGAAGGCAGCCGTTTGAGTGATTTATGATCAGGACTCAGTAATTCATCTTGAAAAATTAAGTAAATAAATGATGCTTCAACAAAGCTGAACTATTTGTTGCCTTCAAAACACACAGGTTCTGAAATGCCTATGTGACACAAGCCATACAGAGCTGTAACATCATAAACTTGAAGTCATGGTGATTTGTCTGCTAAAAAGTACAAGTGCATACCAAATTTGATTTCTACTTCCTCCATGGTAGGAAGTAGGCTAGCATACTTCTCAAGGGCAGAGGCCAGTCCTCACACCTCTCAGTGTCTCCCATCTCAATGGCTGATGTCACTACACTATTACTCAGACCAGTGAAAGAGTCCTCTGTTTCAGATTTGATACTAGAGCCATGGGAAGTCTCAATCAAGGCCTTTAATGTTCTAGGCATTCAGTGTCAAAAGCTAACATATAGTACAGATCTTTTACTCAAAATAACAGCAAAAATAATTCATTATTGTATCCAAAGCAATAAAATTGGAATAATCTCTTCAAAATACATATCCACATACCTGCTTGTTTAGCTTCAATACAGGCAATATTTATTTCTTCTTTCAAATCCCTGTTTTCATTGGCTATAGCTTCTCCTACTTTAACAAATCTTCCAACAGCCAAGTTGACAGCTTGTCCTACACGCTGAATTGCTTGCAGAGTTTTATCAGACTTTTTGGTATTATCTTTATGATTGATAAGTGTGGTAATCTAAAAATAAAAGATAAAAGCAACTTACTTAAATTTTTACCTCAATATCCTTTTAAAAAGAAAAAAAAAGTTATACCACAAAGAAAATTAAGCCAAGTACATTGGACTATCTCAAAAATGATAAATCAAGAATTTTATATGTGTCATCTCAGAAAAACTAGCTAAGTATCTTGCTTCATTCTTCAGGACAATACTTTTAATTACAATTCCAACTTCACCTCAGGGCAGTCCATCTGAGACATGGAGTTGCAGAGATGCTCCATATCTTCCAACAAATCTTAAAGATGTGAGAAAAGTAAGAAGGCAGATCATTACACTCATAGAACTCAAGGAAAACCAAAGTACTTAAATTCTCATAGAACTCAAGGAAAACCAAAGTACTTGAACTCTATTTTCCAATGCTTTTACTTGAGCTGCTGTGAGGGCAGCTTTTTTCCACTGGACTCTACTCCATTGCCTCCCATGGCATGTGGGTTGTACAAAGTAGTACTTGGGTCATATATGTTTCCTGGATTAACAGCATGCTTGAGAATTACCAGCGTAAACTATGTTTTCTACATCCCCAAGTTTTACTGTGCCAACCTCAGAGTAAGTGGAGTACCAAGAGTTATTTGAGCACTTGGTTTTAGGCACTCAAATAAAACATAAAAGATGACAAATTTAGTTCATTGAAGCAAATATAAATGAAAACAAATCATAGAAAACTAGTACACAAACTGTGTTAACATATAAAAATATTTATCGAAGAATGTTGTAGACAGGTATGGTGGTGCAAACCTGCAATCCCAATACTCAGGAGGCTGAGGTAGCAGAATTATGAGTTCAAGGCCAGCCTGGGTTACCTACTGAGACACTGCTCAAAAAAAAAAAAAGCATTTGTTTTGTTTTATTCCAATTAAGAAAGTCCCCCAAAAGTTTTCAAGCAGGGTCTGACATAATTTCTGTAGTAATTAAAAAATATATTCATATTCCTTCTGTTTAGTGTGGGCTGGGCTCAGTTCCAGTATACAGTCCTGAAGTGCTTCCTAGAATAGGTCTTAGAACACATCATGACTTCCTTCACATTTGCCCTCTCTCTGGGATCAATCACAGTGGCAAAAAGCCAGCTACCATGTCATAGAGGACACTCAAGCAACACGAGGTAAGAAAGTGAGTCCTGTGGATAACAGATAATCAAGAGAGGAAGTCTCTTGCCAACAGCAGATGGCTTAACTTAGGATCAAAGTCTCTAACCCCAGTGAATTCTATGTACTACTTCATGACAGATCTGAAACCACAATTTCCAGGCAAACCACTCCAGAATCCTTGTCCCAGAAAACTATAAAATAACATTTGCTGATTGAGGACACTGAATTTGGGGTAACTGTTTCTATATTAATAGGTAACTAATACAGACTTCGACACCTGAATCTGCAGTGATTCTGTAACAAAACCTAAAATAGGAAAAGTGGCTTGAAACCAGGCTTTGAAAGGTGCATGGTCTTTGAGGAGTAAGTAAAAGCAATGGGAGTGTTGGAGAAACTTGATGACTTGGGGGAAGCTGTCTTGTCAGTTTTTACAGCCACAACAGAATACCTAAAACCGTGTAAAAGCAAGAGAAACATATTGCTTACAGTTTTGGAGGCTAGGAAGTATCAGATCTAGACTGGATTAAACTCAGTGTCTGGTAAATTCTGGATCTCCATTTGGCAGAAAAGAACAAACAGAATTCTCAGCCTCTTTTAACATTAGTATTTGTGATCTAATTACCTCCCCAAAGCCAAAGCTGCTAGTTAATATTACCATGGGAATAAGATTTTATGGACTGTGGAAAAACACCAATATTCTGAACACAGGATAAAATATGGGTTAAAAAAGCTTAAAAGAATGTGAGAAAAATATCACCAGAAACTGGAGGGAAAAAAATGGTCCTAAGGCTGGAGGCAGGGCTTCATTGGTAGAGTGCTAGCCAATGAGCTAAAGTGGCTAGTACTGAGTTTGGGGGGGGGGGAGATCCAGTCGTGGGACCTGAACTCTGGGCCTGGACATTGTCCCTCAGCTCCTCAGCTTAAGGCTAGCGCTCTACCACTTGAGCCACAGCACCACTTCCGGCTTTTTTCTTTTTGCTTATGTGGTGCTGAGGAAT